AAAATATAAATATATTATATTATAATATATAATATAAATTATATATTATATTATACTATAATAATATATGTGATATAATATAATGTGTTATAAACATATTATATTATAATTTAAGATAATAACTTATCTCCAATCCTGAGAGCACTTTTTGGAGCTACAGAGTTAGCCATCAATACCCTCAACTTACAAATTAGTAACCTAAGATTCTCCAAGTTCAGTCTTTACCTAATAAATAAACAAGTGCCTCTCAAAAAGCCTTTCTTTATAAACTTGACTTGAAAATTAAACTCATTGAAGAAATAGCTTTAAATGATATGACGTAACCACGGTACTGAGAAATCACGCACATTCCAGGGAACCAGAATGTGCCCGGTCCTGTTGGAAGAAAAGAAAATGTGTTGCTCACGCTGGGGAGATGCACTCTCCTTATGCCATTTCTATATGAATCACACTTCGGAGAAAAGCATTGACTGTATCTGCATTGCATGAATGGTTCACTGCCAACTTCAGCTTCCATCAATTGCCTTCCACCCCTTCGCGCCCAACCTCTTTCAGACACAACATGCAGACACACAGAATGAGTAAGCTTTATGCCTCCTTGCACACAAACTCATACACACTCACCCATATGCACCTTTCCTCTCTCAGTCCTGTTTCCACCTATTAAACAATGTCTCACTTCTCTATTACAATTATTCTCTTAAGGGAACTAATAGTTTCTTTCTTGATAAATCAAATAGCATTTTCTCTGTACTTCTGATTTAGACAAAAAAAGTAAAAGACAAGAAGAAATAAATAAGTCCATTCAAAAGTGGGCAAAGGATATGAACAGACACTACATAAGAAGACATACATGAGGCCAACAAACATGAAAAAATTCTCATTATCACTGGTCATTAGAGAAATGCAAATCAAAACTACATTGAGATACCATCTCACACCAGTTAGAATGGCAATTATTAAAAAATCTGGAGACAACAGATGCTGGAAAGGATGTGGAGAAATAGAAACACATTTACACTGTTGGTGGGAGTGTAAATTAGTTCAACCATTGTGGAAGACAGTGTGGCGATTCCTCAAGGACCTAGAGATATAAATTCCATTTGAATAGAAATGGAACAATAAGTGAAACTCCATTTCAAAAAAAAAGAAAACAAAACAGTTAAAAAAAAATACACAGACACACATACACACACACAGATATACAATTTGGTCTACCCTCTTGGTAACCACATTTGATTCTGTTTCCACCCTTCATCTCAAGTTGTTGCCAACTTTTATCAAACCATATCTCACCATTTTCTAAGACTTAGTTCAAATTGGACTTTTATTGTAAAGCATACTGTGATCTTCTTTTCTCCTTTCTCTCTTCTAAACTCTCTTATCTCTTAGGCAACATTTGCACTGTTTGCTGTGGTTTTTAGCATTTCTGCTGGTAGGAACCACCTAGTAAGCGTTCAATTATCATGTATTTTTCTTTCACTGAAAATACTCAAATTAACCTAGAAAAGGTCACTGCAATGCCTCAAAGCAAGGGGGCAATGACGTAACAAAGAATATATTATAAGATCTAGTTTTAAGGCCTGTCTCCCCTACTTACCAAAACAGTGATTCCAGTTAGAGGGGATATGAACCTCTAGGGTCCTACAGAGGAGGCATGGCATTTGAAAACTCTCTCTTGATTTTGGGTGGGTGTTAAATATCTGTCCGCCCATTCCTGAAAATACGACTGGATTCTCTCTGAGGCTGTTTAAATACATGTGTATCATGTGATGACACAGATAAAATATCCTGGTAACTTATAAATTAACCTCGTCTCCCAGGATGCCTAAATTCTTGCATACCTCAAGGAATCATCCTTTATTATATAAAATAACAACCAAAGCATCCATCATGTTTCCATAATAAGCCAATGTTTCCATACATGCCATGACTAGCTTAGCACATTTAGTCACATGGAATGAGAAAATTCGGTATTTTTTTCCTAGAAAAGGATGACAAATAATTATTTACTGTAGAGTTTTTTTCAAGTTTATGTTGAAGATATTATCAACTGATGAAAAAAGATTATCTAACCGGATCAAAGGCTTTTATATCACCTAAGTTACCTAAAGATTAATTTTCCCTTTTGTTGATTTCTGGTCTGACCAACTTAACCTGTTTCTTCCATTGTAGACAACATTGTCTTCAATGCATAGACTACACCTCGCCAAAATCCAAGCAAACTCCCAATTTCACTGTGACCTGGAAAGGCCTTGCCTTGCCCCCATGGGATGTCAGTCAGATTACATCTAGATTCATCAAGCCCCCTTAGGCACTGCAATATAAACCACTAACCATCCATTGCACATGGCAACTTAAACTAATTAGCCAAGCACCCTGTGTGGGCTAGCTCTAGAATCAGGTCACCTGGTGGTCTAATGTTCGATCCCAGCATGGAATATGACTCCACATGTAGGGGCAGACTAAGACCATGACCATATATTCATAATATACACACACATACACAGGCAGATACACACACACACACACACACACACACTCCATAACACTACTGCTTAAGATAACACATGGAAGGAACATTCTTAAATGGTGAGATTTTTTGTTTATCTCACTTATTTTGGCTCTTCTTTCAGTTTCATATGATTCTTAACCTAAATGCATTTGGAATTTCCTATGGTGTTTCTGAGACCAGGTTGATGAAACAAATCCTTAAGAGGTTGCAACCACCAATGTTTCTTTGACCAAAGGAATTATTTGTAGCCATCAAAAATCATAGAAAAAAATTCCAATTAGAACCAAGCCTTTTAGAGATCCTTTAGGCCTGTGACATCAAAGTGCAATTGTTCATCTCACCCACCTTTGACCAAAAGAATTATCTGAAACAATCCTGAACATTCTAGAAAAGATCGGAATTATAATCAAGCCTCTCAGAGATCCTTTAGGCCTGTAACATCAGAGTGCAATTTTTTGGCTCACTTACCTTTGGAAATGCAACGCTCTTTGAGACTTGAACAATGAGGCTGAGGTGCTATGACACTGGAAACAAAGTTTTGATCCTGAATATTTTTTGTTGTTGTTGTTGTTTTGTGACAGAGTCTTACTCTGTCACCCAGGCTGGAGTGCAGTAGCATGATCTCGGCTCACTGCAGCCTCCGCCTCCCAGGTTCAAGAGATTCTGGTGCCTCAGCCTCCCAAGTAGCTGGGATTACAGTTGCCTGCCACCATGCCTGACTAATTTTAGAGGCATGGTTTCACCATGTTGGCCAGGCTGGTCTTGAACTCCTGCCCTCAGGTGATCCGCCCTCCTCTGCCTCCCAAAGTGCTGGGATTACAGGCATGAGCCACTGTGCCCAGCCTGGTCCTGAATTTTAACAGAATAATTGCCAAGAATTTGAGAGTCCACCAATAATGGGCACGTGGCTGGAAAAAAACTCAAGACAGAGCTTTCCTATCCTAAGGCAAATTCACCCAATTAAGAGATTAATTATTAGATAGAAGGCACTTGTTCTTCTTATGTCCAAGGAAAAATTCTTTCCTTTGAAAACTTTTATAGTATCATCCTAGAAGTAAAAGTTGACCCACTTTTGCAATTTAGTGAAGATCAAGTGTAAAGAGAATAAGAAAAAATGAGAAAGAAGTGGATTCAGAAAGAGAGAGAGAGGAGTAGTGAAGAAGGGAAACAGAGGAAGGAAAAGGAAGAAAGAAGAAAAAGGAAAGGAAAAGAGGGAAGG